TATTTCCTGAGATGCAAATTCATTACAGGGACAGATTACTCTTACAGATAAATTCATTATGCAGTCAGCTCTACATATTAAAAAAAGAGCTACAAAAGATAGATTTCAGTTTAGATAACTTGATACTTTAGTTAAAACTGGTGCCCTAGTGTCCTATAATTAGGACTGGGAGAAAACTAGGGAGAGAAAACAAAGAGATCAAAAATATCTGCCTTTGTTGCAGCCTCAAAACAGACCCTAAGACTGATTCTCTGGGCTCCAAGAAGAGCTCAGTAACAATGAGGTTCATCTGCTGATGATGTTCCACTGCTACTTCTGTCAGAAGCCAGGCCAGCCTTAGAGATTGCCTTAAGAGGCCCACAGGCCATACCCTGACTGGCCAAGGCAGCCACTGGAAGTGAGACTGCACTCTGAGGTGGAGGGCCCAGAGCTCAGACTTGGCTTCCCAAATGGTCCAGTAGGACTGAAGGGCCCTGGGCCTGCCTCCTCCCTCTCGTTGGTCTGTTAGCTCTACCTGCCACCTCCACAGAGGACCTCTGAGTAATCATGACTATAGAAGGAAAAGAATCCCAGCCTATTGATGGACTTTGACACAGGTGTCTTTGTCCTTCTCCAACCCTGACCTTCCTTCCTGTCATTGTACCTCAATATAAGACATTGTGCTTTATCTATAACTGAGATAACGCAAAATATATTCAGTTTGCTTACTAAACAAAATGATACTGAGACTGATTTATTACAAATGTAATATATATTGTTCATGTATTTCACTAGTTAAAGTGGATCCCCAAGGACAGATAAAGTCCTGTGAGTGTAAAAAAGTTCTAAAGATACTGGCTACACAATGTCCAATAGATTTGGGCCTATAGACAGAGACTGGTCTTGTATTTGTGACATAAAACTCAGAGCCACAGTGTTAAAAGGAGAAATCCTTGCTTACATTCAGGGCCATACCCAAAACACTGAATGGAACATTGGTTTAATCTGACTGAATGCTACATATTTCATGAGAAGTATATAAGTTAATCGGGTTGATTTTTGATGTAACAGGTATTTCATGCTGATAATAAATAGAGGTGTGATCTCTCTTAACTAAAGGTAGAAAGACTTGTAGCAACTGTCAGACTCCATTAATAAAGGGGTCTAAGAGCTAGTGAATTACAATTGCTATGCCTCAAAAGTTTGTAAATTCGAGTTACTTCTTCAGAGGGGGGAATGTTGTGGGCAGCTGAAATAGATAGAAATATTATAGCAGTCAAGACAAGGCTAAGTCCTAAAGAGACAATATGGAAGACAAGGTGACTTTATAACTTTGGAAGAGACAGGCACTCCCCACTGTGGGCCAGACCTCAAGATAAAAGAGTAATATTTAGAATATCAATATTTAGAATATCAATCACTGATGGGCATCAGTGATTGATATTCTAAATAAGTATCAATCACCTTGAAGAGCACAAATGAGCCACTAACCCAATCCCCCACAGGAAGAGACCCTGTTCCATATTTATGCCCGCTTGCTATGTGACTTCCTTCCCCATTTGATTTCAATTTAATCAATTTTTCATGGGCAATGGTGCTTGTAATCACATTGGTTGACCATAGTTTTGTCTCACCTAAGCAACTTCCCCCATTCTCCACCATCTTATATCCACCTCATTGCATGGTTTTCCTCTTTAAATGTCCCTGGAGGAGACAGCTTCCTAGGGACAACCTGCTCAGGCCCCCCCCTTCTGTCCCTCTCTCAGACAGAAACTTTCTTTCCCCCAATAAATATATTCTGCTCTTAACCTCCATTTGTTCCTAAAACTCATTATTCAGTTTTAGAGAATGTGAACTCATCCCAGGTACCTTTCAGGTTGGGAGTTTCATTTTTTCCCCTATATCATCTGGAGGTCATCCACCGAGATTATTTTTCCCTTGTATCAGTCATATAGAAAAGCTTCAGGAAAACTTCTAGCTTACTAGCAGAGAGAGAAAAAAGTACAATAGGTAAGTGGAGACCTTTAAGTGGTCAAGAGCCAGTTTCCACCAAGTACCTTTGGGTATGTACCAGAGAATAGCCCTGATCATGACCCATCAGGTGTTCTCAGTTTCTGTTGGTCCACACAACCAGAGATCAGTTTCCAGAAAGCAATCCAGCTGTCTCTCTGGTCAGCAGTCCATCAGCCATTGGCTTCAATGGGGATTCACCAAAGAAATGTTGGGAAAATCTTTCCTCTGCTTCAAAGGGTGGCAGCTGCTCTAGGAGCACTTACTAGCTGGCAGAGTGACCACTGTTGGTCCAAGTTTTATGAGGGCTAGTTAACAGCTTGAACAAGATTACCTATCACTTTAAAGTAAAGACTTTAAAGTCTACAACTTATCTCTTATGCACCTAAATGATAACTAGACCAGAGGAAAAGGTTGAGATCTTCCCTTACACTGAATGTGCTTTGGTTCCATAACTGTGCTGCTTTTGGATATAGCTCCTTCTGGTGTCACCCAGAAGTCAGTTCTCTCCACTGTGTCTCAGGTTTATCCTCCTGAAGGACACCTACCCATAACACTCAGCTGGGACATGGCTTTTATATGTGTCATCCTAGACCGGTATAATCCTCTTTGTCTCATCTGACACTGAGATGGTGTATGTGTCCTTTTTCTAAAATGACTTCCCTGTCTTTGGCATCAACAAACATTCATTTTCTAAGGGCTTCACTTAGTTGGAACAGTCTAGAGTTTTCCTAATTTCACATGCCTCTAAAAATGAAAGTACAAAGAGGTAGGAAAATTAGAAGTAAGGTCAAAGAAAGGAAACTGAAACAGAGCAGGCCTGACATTTCCTCTAGCATGTAGAGGGGGATCAGAGCCAGTCTGTCCCAGTGAAACCTGCCTTCCAAGTCTTCAAGAATGGCTGCCCAGAAAAAACAGGACAGGAACATGAACATGGGGAGACAAAAGAAAGCAAGGAAGTATGCAGCCATGAAGTGAATGCTCAGTCTTAGAGATGAGAGACTCAAAGAAAAGGATAGATTAAAACCTAAAAAGAAAGAAAAGAAAGATCCCAGTGCTCTAAAGGAAAGAAGTCCCCCAACATCCTTCCTGCTTATTCTTCCAGTATGATACACAGCTGGGTCCATATCATATCCTGGTGGATGCCAACTTTATCAACTTTTCCATAAAAGCCAAATTGGACTTAATACAATTGATGATGGACTGTCTGTATGCCAAGTGTATCCATTGTATAAGTGATTGTGTAATGGTAGAAATGGAGAAATTGGGACAGAAGTATTGAGTGGCCCTAAGGCTTGCCAAGGATCCATGGTTTGAATGATTACCTTGCACACATAAAGCAACTTATGCAGACGAATACTTAGTGTAGAGAGTAACTCAGCACAAGTTTACATTGTAGTCATGGTTGACCAGGACCTTAAATAGAGAATCTGGAAGATCCCTGGAGTTTCCATCATGAACATTTCTAATCACAGATACAACATCAAGTGGATGCCAGATGAGTATTGAGCCCCTCAGTTATGATTCTTACAAGACAAAGTTCCTCAGCCTTCTTCTGACCAACATTATGTTTTCAGTTCATTCACCATGATACAGCATGAACGGTTCACCCATTTGCTGTACTACCAGCTGAGTATGGCTAAACACATTCACTTTTTGATGTTCTCTGAAAATAAAAGAAAGGTTACCGACCTAATGTCATTTAGTTGGCAAAAGGAGTCCCGTGTTTCATATATAAGCATGTATATTTTCTAAGTCTGAGCTACATTTAAAAATCCGAATTTACAGAAGTTTATATAAAGCCCACTAGGAAGCTTACTAATGTTACTGTCTCTAGTGCTATTGTCTAAAGTCAAGCAAAGAATACCAGTACATTTAGCAACTAGTTCAAATACAACATATACAAGTACAAAATAGTCATAAAATGTCTATTTTTAGAGAAATATTATAACCTTATAACATGTCCATGTTTTAAACTTAGATTTACCTACAACATTTTGACCAAGAGTTTAACAAAATCATATAAGAGACAAAGCACAAGCAGCTGAAAGCAATTTCAACAGAACTATGAGACAAAACTATATGAGGGAAAGCTTGAACAATTATGAGCAATGAGCAATGACATATCAACATTGTAAGCATTAAAGTTTGTTACCTAAATGAGTCCCAATCCAGAATCTCTGAAAGAAAGCAAACTCATGCCTTCATCCAATGATCTCAGTAGATGACTACTGAGAAATGAAATGGTACTCCTGACCTGAAAGGTACCTGGGATGAGTTCCTGTTCTCTAAAACTGAAGAATGAATTTTAGGAACAAGCAGAGGTTAAGAGTAGGATGTATTTATTGGGGAAAGAAAGTTTCTGTCTGAGAGAGGGAGAGAAGGGGCACCCGGGCAACTTGTCCCCCTGGGTTTTCTAATTGACATTACTTATTGAACTTCAAACTGAGAGTTAAGGAAAACTAGTTTCACTTTTTCCACTGATGAACAGAAATGGGTAGGGATGGCTGTAGCCCTACATGTTTCTCTAGGTAGAAGTTCTCGAAAAGATTGCTCCTGTTTCCTTCCTTTATCTCCTTAGAAGCCTTGAACTTTATAAAGAAGTTTTTGTGCGTCCTTTGACTGTAGAGCTCTGATCTTCCTACTGATTTAAACTATATTGTGTAGCCTTTTAATATATATAAAATAGCAGCTAAGCTTTGTAAATGTAGAACAAAACAAATGTGACTCTAAAGAAATCACTCTACAATTTTTGCTTTGTTTATCTTATTACATAAACCTGCTTTCTATCAGCATCTGTTCTAAAGTAGTTCTGTGTATACTAATAATGAAGCAGGGCATTCAGCTCCCTGTGAAGACTACAACGTTGTCATGTAGCCTCCAGGTCTCTTCCTGTTTGTAGAGAGAAAGTATCCCAGGCCCACCCAAAGCCAGCCTTGCTGTTAGCTCCTTCTGCAGGGTGGGAGTTAAATTTAATGGGAGTACCAGGAGCTTGGTTCACCCAAGGCACAATGTTCACGGTAACTTTTAAGTATCTTTGTTTAGAGAATGGCAAGGTAAAAGAAAGAGACATCCTCATTCTGCCCCTGGACCTGACCGACAGAAGTTCCCACGAGGTGGCTACCAAAGTGGTTCTCCAGGAGTTTGGTAGAGTAAGTAGTGTCTCACAACAGTAGAACATTATTTTTCTTTGCCTGTTTTTGGAGTAGCTTCATAGTAGATTCCCATGTGTGCGACTCTCGTTCAAAAGGCTTTCAGGAAATGAATGTCCATGTAATGGCCTTGGGACAATTAGCTAGGCTTCATAAGACATGCTCATCTTTGAGTTCAAAGTATATTTCACACCTTAACAAGAGCTGATTTCTCCATGTAGAACAAAAGCAGGCAAAAATTCAGCACTGCTTCCATTTTTATGACTCTTGTTCCCTTCCATAAGGAATTATTTAAAATGGAAAATTTATAGGCAAATTCTTTGCTTTAGTTTATCTTTTTATTGCTGACTTCTCAAAATATACCTTGTTCCACTGATTCTTCAAGGGAACACTATGATCAATAACTGCTAAGGATTCTGTCTATTCACACAAGACATTGTGAGTTCTGATCTCATTTAACTAGATCGACATTCTCATCAACAATGGAGGAATAGCTCAGAATTCTTGGATTGTGGATGCCAACATGGATGTCTTCAAGGAGCTAATAGAAGTTAACTATCTGGGGATGGTGTCCTTGACAAAGTGTGTGCTGCCTCACATGATGAAGAGGAAGCAAGGAAAGGTCGTGACTGTGAATAACCTCACGGCGATGACATCAGGGCCTCTTGCCGGTGGATATTGTGCCAGCAAATATCTTTATGGGTAAGGCAGATGGAATTCAACCTTCCTCGAAATGACCTAAATGTGTATGGCGTCTATGGCCACCATTGGGTGGGTCCTTGAAGTAAGCATTACATGGGGAGATAGAAAAGGATGAAATATTGCAGAGATCATCCTCAGTAAACCATAAATAACAATTAAGCCATACATGCCTTTAACTTACCCAACAGAGTTGCATGAGTACTTATAGTCTGTCATGTACTGTGACAGATGCTATGGACGTAAAATAAATATCTTGCTCTTAAGAAATATATAGTTAACAAATTCCATTTTAACTGACCCTTCTCACTACCACATCTTGGCAAACTTGGTGAAATGTCTTCCTGTTTTCTTCTAAACACTTCAGAATGGTCTCCCTTTGCTTCTATGTCTGTAATTTCTTTCATTTTCTCTTTGTACTTCTACGTTATCTTGTCTTGCATAATTACTTTATTTTGTCTGTCAAAAATAGATTTCATCAACAAGGTGAGGAATCCTGAGCCTCATATCCCTACTGGGACAACTTTGACTCTCTTCACTTTGCTTTCAACAGAAGCAGAAAGTCTCCTCAAGGCAGAAGCTAAGAGTGAGGATTGATTTGTGTAATATCACTTAGAAGGAGTGAATACTAGAATTGAATGAATTTGTAATGCTGGGCTAGCAGTGATTTTGAAAGCCTAGGAATGAAACTCTGTGGTTGAACACTTGCCTAGCATATGCAAGGCATTGGCTTTGGCTCCATCCAAAAAAAACAAGTGAATGTTACAGCATTGTAAGAACAATAGAAAGAAAACAATGAAAGGAGATGCACAACTTATCATTATTTCTGCTGAAGGTCGCTTTAGGGGAGTTGTCTCCTGTTGGAATAATGAGATGCAAAGATGCAATAGGTGTATAGTTACTACAGTTCCCTCTCCCTCTCCCTCTCTCTTTTGGTGCCAGGGATTGAACTCAGGACCTTGTAATAGCCGGGCAGGCACTTAAGCCACTGAGCTATCTGCTCTGCCTGGGCATTGTCTCTCTGCTGAGAGGAGCTGAATGTTGTGGAGAATGATAAGGCAGAATGAAGCACTGACTTTCTGACTTTAAGTTATGGTTGGGTTTCAGTGGCTTGCATTGGAGAACTTGGACAAGCCTTAACCAGTTACATGGGTAGGGCGTCTTCTCACTCTAAGTGTCTCATAGCTCAAGAAGAACCTTTCGATAAAGCCAGATAGCTGTGTAGACTGCCTGCCTAGACATCCTGTTTAATTACTGGTTTTGATCTACTAGAATGTGGTAGGTTGAGAGTTTAGTTAGTCATAAAAGTACTTTGTTAGTCATGAAATTACTTCAACATTCAGAGCAGAAGACTTTCTTTGGTGAACACGTTTCCTTCTCCTCCTCCCAGAAATACATGAAGTGAATGTGTTTATAGTTGAAAAGACTACAGTACCACTGTATGAGGAGGGACTTCAATGCAGACAGGATTTAGGGTGTAGATGTATTGACTCGCAGGCTGTAC